GGTTTATGGTTTAGGGTTTTGGGTTCAGGGTTTAGGAACTCAGGAGTTTTTTGGCCTAGTCGGGATTAGATTGGGTCCGCTAGTCAAGGCCCTGCCAGCATACACCCGCGCATGCGACATGAACCTATGCACATAAGATCGGCTCTACTTATCTATTCACCTTTTACTTATCTATCTATCTATCTATCTATCTGTTTGTCTATCCATCTATATATCTATCTATCTATCCATCTATCCATCTATCCATCTATCAATCTATCCATCTGTCGTTCTACCGTTCTATATATCTATAAACACATCATATGCATATATATATATATATGTGCGTGTGTGAGAGAAATGTCGCTAAATTCGGGAACACTCCTTGAGCTGTACCATTGTCAGCGAGGCCTTTCTGAGATCCCTGGCATTGTGTTGGTGCCAGTGGGGTAGATTCGGGTCTAGAGTGTAGCAACTTCATCCGAAGTATTAAACCCTAAGCCCTAATCCCATACAAGGGGCTTTTTTGGTTGGAAGCAGACACGGAGAGACGTGATGCCGTCCCTCAGAACATGTAGCGAAGCGCATGGGCTTCCGTGTTATCGTTCTGATTATGACCGGCGTCATGATGAGCTGCTGATGATGCTGATGGGGATGACGAAGACGGAAAGATAACACCTGTGGATGATGGTCATTGCCAGCAATGAGAGCCATACCCAAGTAACTTCGTGTGCCGTGAACTTGAGTCCTTGCCGACATCTCCAGGACATGCAGCAGCGTGTGGAGTTATTTTTACGAGGCCCGTCGTCACGTCCTGTTAGAAATGAGTCTAGGGTTTCGGAGCTCTTCGAGGGTTAGCATGCAGTCAGAACTGGCTTGTAACTATTCGTGGTACCATCTACAGCACAGCAGTGCTCCGGCTTTCCCAGGCATTAGGGACTCCAAGCATTTGGGTACATAAAAAACGGGAGAAACCTGTTGAGTTGGGACTCCAGGGTTTTAGGTTTTTAAGGGGTGAGTGGATTATGGTTTAAGAAGCTCCCTAAACCCTGAACCCTAAACCCTAATTTGTCGCAGAAAGCTTGATTTTATTGCCTAGGTGGCCCATGCCAGGGGTCGGGGTTTGGGATATAGGGATTTCCGAACATAGGGGACCCTAATAAAGTACCCTAAATAGTAGGATCCTCATTAAAAAGGACCACTACCCGAATTTGCGGAAAGTCCCGTATAGGGTTCAGGGCTACAGGCTTGCAATTTTGGGAAGGAAATGGGGTGTTTCTCCACATACAAATTCGGGCATGTTTCAGTGCTAGGATTGATGGCGGCAGTACCATTTTTTCCCCTCCGCAAAGATACACTTGAAGCTCCTAAGCCCTAAATCTTACTTGGAGGTTCATGGGTAGTGATAAGTGGAGTTCTAGGCCCCTTAAAAGGGGCTATAACTAAAGTTACCCTAATTATAACCCCACTTATAACTACCCATGAACCTCTAAGTATACCCTCTGTCAGCCATAGATGCTCCAACTCCACCACGTTCTAGTCACGTTTGGCACGTTCAAAAAGCCCGAAACCCTTAACAGAAAGCTCCTTTTTCTTGTCAGGACGCTTCAAAAAAGGGCTTAAGGTTTAGCTCTAATGTTCTGCATCCCCTCATTTTCAGAAGCCTTTAAAACCATCCAAAGAAGTTCAGGCCGAGGTCGGCGTGTACTTGGTACGGAGTGTTCGGTTGGACGTCGTTGCGGTGGTAGCATGCGTATAGTATAGCTGATATGACACGTCCAAAACGGAAGTTGCGGCAACAAGCCCTAGACGCTAATGGCTCTTACTCGAAGCGCATACTACTGATCGTAAGCAGCGCCCTCTCCAAAATTCAAGACCCAAAGTCTGCGATAATGCAAAGGTTTAGAGATTGGCCTTTATTCGGGTTCTGCAGCGGGCCCAAATTCAATGATTACCCTGTCATAATAACAGGTGATTGAACACTTAGGGAGAATTCCATAATCCACTGCCATAGACATCTTTGGCATTACTTCGAGCATCTTAGCCCCGAGTCGCCGCCCAGAGCCCTTGTTCTAATCACCAAGGCACGTACATCAGGGTGGAACCCCGCCGACATCAACTTCTGGGGCTTGCAGAAACCCGGATCCTTAAACCCTAAACCCTAAACCCTGGATGCTAAGCCCCGTACCCGAAGCCTAAGACCTCGCACCCTGGGCCCAACATCCACCCCGAAGTAGATCCTCTCCCTTCAGGCAAAACAGCGGCGAAAGTCCGGAAGCCCTGTTGAAGCCCTAAACCCCAAACATCGAAAAAATATATATCGACATCCGAAGGCCTTTGCCAGTTCTGCCCCTCCGTGAGCTGCATGATCAAGCTGGTGCTCTATGCAAAGCCTGCCGGCATGGGTTTACTGTGCAAAGCATTGGGTTTAGAGTCTAGGGTTTGGGGGCGAAATTCGGGCCTTTGTAAGGCTTTAGGCGGTCTTACAAAGTTCGTTATGGGGGTTTCGGCGCTTATCTAAACCCTGAGCCCTAAACCCTGAACCCCGAATTCGAGCTCACGGCTGAGTGTCGAACCAAGAGCCCTGCAGTTTTTGGGGGGTTTAGGCTTCACTTTGAGGTTCATGGGTAGTTATAAGTGGGGTTCTGATTCTCATTCTAGCCGATATTAAACGGACTTATTACCCTATTTATACCTTATAACTACCCATGAACCTCCAAGCAGGGAGTTTTGGGGAGTTGAGGCAGTTTCGGGTTTACTGGGTTCTTGTTAGGGGATTGAATTTAGGTCACCATAATAAGGAAACCATATTTTTTTTACTATAGATCCCTATTATGGTAGTTTAAACAAAATCCCTTAGCAAGAACCCAGTTTCGGGAGTTTCGGATCTCAGATTGCCAGCGGCCTCTTCGTAGGATTGAGGGGTCGCAAGCCTCAGTGAGATTTCGGCTTGAGGGGTCTAGACTTCAGAGCTGCTGGGGTTCAGGGTTTAGGGTTTGGGGTATCCGGTTTGGGGGTTTAGGGTTTAGGGTTCGTGTCTTCGTGCGCAGCTGGATGCTTGGAAATCTGCGACTTGAGCGCGGCAAGTTTGAGCTGCTCAGGTTAGAAATCAGGTTTCCATTTTGTGCGCATGAGCACAGGCCCTTACATGACCCGGTTCGAGTTGTCAGCGATGCACGTTGCTTGCTTCGTGGCCCTGATCCTCGGAGTTCCAGTCGAGAGTGCTCGGCCTGCCCTTCAACAGCAGATGTCAACGGGAGGCACTCTTGAATACGATGACGTTTGTTGCTGCAAGCGGCACAAGGATGTGGGGAAGACGCTCCGAAAGCCTGGACACACGGAGGACATGCAGCGAGTCGATTGCCAGAAGTTGAAGCAGATGAGGCCGGACAGGCCCTTCTGGTGGCACTTCGGATCAGGGGACTCCGAGAAAAGATGCTGCTGGACGAGCTCGCATAACTGCATGCCTACCATCGGCTTTCTCTCACTGAACGAAGATGGCGGAAGACGGATCGATGATAAAGACCGCGAGAGCCTTTGCCAGACTGGTACAACTCCCGAGGGAGACGTGGAGCCAATCGACAAGACGTTTGCCTTTAACGAGATTATGGGGTCCCTGTACAGCGACATCGGTGATATGGTTGTGAGCAAGCTATGTGGGATGGTATCGGGCGGTTTAGCCGCACACGGCCCAGGGCATGTTGCACAATGTGCTCAGGCTCATCGGCAAGCAGGCTCACTCCAGGATGCCGGCAGAGCTGCGATGGGAGAAGCCTTTGAAGGCGCCATAGGCCGGCATTTTGCGTCCACCAGGCACCCGATAATGCCCCCCACGGAATGGTTTCGCTACGGTGGTGATAGGCCCCTCGAGGTCGCAAAATCAGTGCAAGTGTTTAACGGGAACAAATTCCCAAACATGAGGTATTGGTTCCACCCCGAGCTTCAAGAAAATGGACACGTGGTGGTCGTCTTCCAGGATCCCAACACCTACGTGCCTCCGGATAAACGGACAAGGGCTCCGACGAGTACTTCCGGGGAGGGCTTCTGCGGGCAGGATGCGCTGAACTTTGAGAAGGTTTGCGTCCAGACGACTGAATCCGGCGAGCTCGAATCCTTGACAGTCAATCTTGATCTGAACAAGGAGCTGGATGTGACAGCCGAGGTCCCGCTCTAGCCACATGACTCGCCGTAGAACCGGCCGACAGAAAACATGTCTCCTCCATGGCCACTTGGAGGTTCATGGGTAGTTATAAGTGGAGGTTAGAAGTAGGGTAACTATCCATATTAGGGGACTTATAACCCTACTTATAACTACCCATGAACCCTAAACTCCCTAAACCCTAAACCCTAAAATCCTAAAACCCTAAACCTTACTTATATAACCCTACCTTCCAACTACCCATGAACCTCCATGTCCAGACTTGTAGCTTAGCCGCGCAGCTGATGCCCAGATCTAATCCCTAAACCCCTAAACCCTAAACCCTAATCCCTAAACCCTAAGCCCTAAACCCTAAACCCTAATCCTTAAAAGACACAGACCATGACATGCTGCAATAATCCAGTGCGGTCTTCGACAAAACTCTGAGAAGACTTGATGGGAACCTGGGTCTTTCAGAATCTTCTAAGGCTTTGGGGTTTGGGGTTTAGGGTTCAGGGTTTAGGGTTTAGGGCTTAGGGTTTAGGGTTGAGGGCTTAGGGTTTAGGGTTTAGGGTTTAGGGTATCTTCTAACTTTATCTTCTGTGACCCTGAGCACCAACTCCAACAGCAACAAGACACACACTAGGAGGTGGATTCAGAGGAGACGGGGCTGCAAGATAGACAAAAGGACCCCTAACGTAGTGAGTTTGGGGTTCGACAGTACGGGTTTTCTACCAAGGGCACTACAGGTGTCTTTAGGGCCTAGGGATTAGGGTCCTAGAACATGGGTTTACAAGTTTGAGGGCCTCCATGTTCAGGAGCAGAGCAACTTTCTGTTTCAAGTTTCAGCACATAGGGTTTAGGGTTTAGGGGGTGCATTTCGTCGTTGAAAAGCGAACATCTGCATCGCCGCCATCATCGGCAAAGCCACGAGATCACCATCACCACCTCAGGAACAGATGACCGTGATCACCACCATCGACCTAATCATCAGCATCATGATCATCATGATTGTAATGATCAACTTGTTTCACATGGTCATCAGGATCATGTTGATGATCATCATCATTATCATCATCTTCATCATCACCATCACCATCATCATCGATACCATCACCATTAAAATCAGCAAACAGCCGGAAGCGACACTGACCAGAAGAGCTGCCAGCCGCATCAGCTGCTGCTGCAGCAGGAGTAGTGGTGGTAGTAGTAGTAGTAGTAGCAGCAGTAGTAGTGGTAGTAGTGGCAACAGCAGGCGGCACAGCATCGAACGAGGCTCACATCAGCAACAGTAGCATCTGCAAAAAGTAGCCGAAGTCGTCGTCATAGCTTCACCCGGTTCCATCACCCTAAAACCCTAAACCCTAAACCCTAAACCCTAAACCCTAAACCCCAAGCCCAGGAAGACTTTAGAAGCGCTGGTCGAGGTGGGGCCTTTTCGGGGTTTCGCGTCAGGGGTTTGGGTTCAGGGACTTGGCGCTTGCTGGGGTTCCCTAAACCCGAAACCCTCCTCAAGCTGTCGTCTCATGACACCTGGCCAAGCCTTTAAGAGCGTCGCTAGCAGGGTTTAGGGCTTTAGGGTTTTAGGGGCTTAGGGTTCGGGGGTTCGGACCATTGAAACTTTAAACACCCTAAACCCTAAACCCTGAACCCGAAACCCCGAAACCTCTAAACCCTAAACCCCTAAACCCCTAAACCCCTAAACCCCTAAACCCCTAAACCCCTAAACCCCTAAACCCCTAAACCCCTAAACCCCTAACCTAAACCCCTAAACCCTTTAAACCCTAAACCGCACACCGGGGGGGTTTTTTTCGGGCCCGGAGTAAATCGACGGTAGGGACCTGAATCCCCAAGCCCAGCAGCACAGGCTTCATGCTTTCAGGGGGCTCACATCTCCCTTGAATTTCAGGCTTTGCAGCACCAAGCCTTAATCCCAAAGCCTAAGCCAAGCCTTATCGCGAAACTAGACACGTATTTTATTCCTCACCTCAATCCATGACCCTAAACCGCAAACCCCAAGCAGAGTCATTGATGCGTGGATCCATGGTCCAGTCTAGTCTAGTCTAGTCTAGTCTAGTCTAGTCTAGTCTAGTCTAGTCTAGTCTAGTCTATCATCGTATTTTTCTTGGTATATTCTCGTAGCATGTTATAGTATATTATCGTATATTATAGTATATGATGGCATATATAATATATCATAGTATATTGTAGTATAGAACAGAAATTGAAACTATGTCCTGCCCAGCTCCCTCCAACTCAATACAGCCGAAGATCCTAAACGAGTTCTTTTGTCTACCTGCACGTGGGTAGTTTTCTAAATTAGCGTCCCTTTTGAGGTCCTTTTTATAAGGGTGCCGTACTATATCGGGGACCCAAAAAGGGACCATGATTTAGAAAACTACCCAGGTGCACATGTGCGCTGGAAGAGGTAAGCAGATTTGTGTGAACGCTGTCGTGTTCAGAAGGCCTGCTTGAGCCCTTCGGCACTTGGGTAGTTCTCGAAACTTGGGTCCCTTTTCGGGTCCCTTTTATAAGGGTGTCGTACTATATTTGGGGCCTAGAAGCGGACCGTAATTTAGAGAACTACCCACTTGCAGGTCATGGTCCCCATGATCTTCAGCCGCTTCCGATCCCTCAGTTTCGGAAAGGAGACAACGCGGAGAGTTCCTTTGCTGTCGGTCTTCTCTGACGACTGGTAGCTCTTCACAGCCATGGCATCATCATAATCTTCAACATATTCACCATCATATTATATCATCGGCATCATCGTCATCATCATCGTCATCGTCGTCGTCGTCATCGATGTCATCATCACCATTATATACGTCATCATCGTCGTCGTCGTCGTCATCACCACCAACACCATCCCACCATAGACGATCATAGTCGTCATCGTCATCACCGCCATCATCACCGCCATGATGATGATCACCATCATCACCATTATCATCATGATCATCGCCATCGCCATCGTCATCGTCATCATCATCATCATCGTCATCATCATCAGCACTGCATTAGCGACGGCTTCCTCGCGCTCCGTTTCCTGCTCCTTCTCTGCTTAACCACCATCAGCTTCCTCCCTGCCATTAGCGCATGAATCAGGTCTAGGGTTCTGGGTCTAGCGTTGCAGGGGTGGCCCTGTGGAGGTTGCAAAGGCCACAGACACGCTGTTTGATGCGCAGGAGGATAAGGAGCAACTTAGACAAATGATCACCAATGGTGCGACGCCCTTTATGTCCCTCAGCTGCAGTGCTGCAGTGTTTGGTTGGATTGCTGGGGCTTACGGTTTGAGGGCTCAGGTTTAGATTCAGGATTCAGACTTACTTCGTTTGCAGGTCATGGTGCAGGATTTCGGAATTGGACCGATTCAGGACGGAGGGCAGGAGTTCAAAGGGAAGTGTCGTGGATGATTTCTCACACGGCTCTGGAGACGTTGTACTGAGACGACGGAGCTTGGGGCTAGAGTTGATTTTACATGCACTTTAAACTTTACTTGAGTTTGCCCCCCCCACACCCTTGCTTACAACCTATGTACTGACTGGCCCTAAACCCAAAACCCCAAACCCCTAAACCCCAAACCCATAAACCCCCCAAGCCCCTCCATCCTTTGAGTTCCAAACGATGCATGAAAGTCTGCAGCAACTCTCACCTGCAGCCCACCTATATAAGCCATAGCCGTATGGTTTTGGGTTTTGGGTTGAAGTTTTGGTTTGGGTCTTTTTCAACGCGCACTGCAGGCCAAACCCAAGGTATCAGCTGCTGCTGCTACTGCTACGCTCGTGTTGCTGCTTCTACTACTGCGACTGCGACTGCTACAGCTACGGCTGCTGCCGCTGCTGCTGCTGCTGCTGCTGGTAGTAGTAGTTTATGTGATTACTACACAGTTTTGTTCTCGCCACAACTATTGGCTCTTTACCTTCGTCTTCTTCCTGTTGATCTCTACGCCCCAAACCCTATTTATTACCCCAAATCTTTCAGCGCGGGACCCTAAGCCACTAAACCCCACACTCGAAGCAAGCCTCAGCCACTGCGCCGCTAGTATCCTAAGCCCTGAACCCTAAACCCTAAACCCCCTAAACCCTAAACCCCCTAAACCCCCAAAAACCCGCGAGGCACTGCGACGAAGCAGCCATCGCCCTGCTCCAGAACCAAAACCATCCGAACGATGCCTTCCCTCAGAAGGACGCAGCATTTAATTGAAGGACGTTGCAGGGTTGTTTGCCTTTGCGGATTAGGGTTTAGGGTTTAGGGTTTAGGTTTCTGTTAGAAACCTAAACTTCAGACTGAAGTTTTGGAGTTTAGGTTTATTGTTCAGGGCAGCTAGAGCTGCCAGGACAAGGATGCCCACATCTTGCGGACACCGTCTCGACATGCTGTAGCAAGGCCCTAGCTGCTAAACCCTAAGCCCGCAGCTGTATTTTTTGCAAAGATGGCGAAGGACCTTCGGGTGTTCAGTCTGGGGCCCTAAAGCCTAAACCCCAAGCTCTAAACCCCAAAGCCTAAACCCCAAACCCTAAGCTCTAAACCCCAAACCCTAAACCCTAAGCCCTAAACCCCAAAACCCCCAAACCCCAAACCCCAAACTTAAAAGGATGGTTCGGATGTCTGGAGGTCGAGACCCTCGCACCTTCGCACACCGATTAAGCCTCAAAGTCTCACTGGGGCACAGAGACTTTGTAAGGAGTCTTTATATCACAAACCCGAAATCGTGACACCCTAAACCCTGAAGAGCCCTACATGCAGTTTGACCTCAATCGGAGCCCGAACCGCCAGGAGATCGTGGATTTCATCAAGCTGATGACACAGACAGGAGGCCCGTAGTAGTGAGGATATAATCCTGCATTTCCTGAAGGACCCTAGACTATGGGAATTATGGTATATTCCTTATCAGGGGTAATGCAGGATTTCTATCATC